CGCTTATTAACGCGCATTATTACAAAAACGTCCTCCAGCTCGACAAATCATTTGCGGATATCATATTTGTCATCACCGGTAAACTTAGGTACCATCGCCTCGACTGTAGCTAGTTATATCGATAGAACCACCCTGATGCGATTGATCTTGCAGCTGTTGGATCTCGCGCTGTAAAGTTAAAATTTCTCGTTGTTTCCTCAACCGTGTAATTTCCAGCTCCAAGTCCTCAGCTCCCGTAAAATAGGATGGAGGAGCACTCTGGCTGTCTCTTTCTACATTGGCCGTAGCACTAGTGACGGAAGCAGCAGGTATATTGGAATTATCCTCCGATACATGCGCAGCAACGGAAGACATAGGGACATCGACTACCTCAGATACGTCAGTTACCAACAGGTTAGGTTCCGAAGTTTTGTCCTGAGTTGGATTATTAGCAGCGCTCACTTGGACACCCATGATCTCATCACAAAATGAACGCAGTTGCGCGTTGGTCGCGATTTCGGAAACGCAATTCCGGCTTGTGCTAACACTTCCATAAGGCTTTCTCTTAACCCGGATTTTTCCGACATCACAATTCGTGTACACAGATATATTACACTGGTTGACGGCCAAAATTTACCAGAGACGCCGTTATGAAATTCGTATGTAAAATCACCCCCTGATTACGAAAATCAAGGTTATTTTTAATTTTATGGTACCGTTTTTGAGATATTTGCAATTTACCGTTTTTGCAAAAAAAAAAAAAATTGGGTCCACTTAATCATATATATCTCAAGAACGAATTAAGCAATTCCAAAACGGTTTGAAGCTTTTAAAAGGTAATAAAATTTTCTATAAGCTGTGCATACAACACTTTTTGCTAGGCCCTGTAGATTCAAAGATAACGAACAATCATTACCGATTTTTTCAATTTTTTTTGTAAAAATATAAAAAAAATTGTACTTTGCGCGGAAGGATCTCGAAAACCTTTTATTTTTTATTTGCAGATTTTTTTTTCTCCCTAAGCTCTGTTATATTACAAAAAAAATAAGGTATCATCGAAGAAAATCGATGCAAAACTACGTAAGTTATAAGCGATCAAATAAAAATACCCAGGTTGCGCAATTTCAACGTATACCTCAAAACGTATGTATGGTATAAAGAAGAGTGAAATATCTAGCTATGCTCTGTTTCTATTGAGTTAAAAGTTCAATTTATGAATGAAATTACCCATATTTTTAACTTTTTTTTTTAAACTTATTTATGTTTATACTATATTCTAACAATCTTTATCTTAATTTGATTTTACTATGTTGTCGAAATAATTATGTGTTCTACTTTGACGCTTATTCACTTTAGGATCGGTTTCTCTTATGAGAAACCAGCAGTAATCACCCATCATTGCGACGTCCCAGAATCCTTGATATCGATTCTCAATTAATTTCTTTTGCTGATGAAACCTTTCGCCATGTTCATTACTTTCGTCGCCAAGATTTGCCGGAAAAAAGCTCAAATGTGAGTGGAGAAAGTGAATTTTAAGACATATTTACGCCCATTTTCGCATAATTATTGATTAGGTCGTTCACTATCTGCTCGTAGTTAGGGCTTTTGTGTCTACCGAGAAAAGAAGCAACGACCTTTTCAAAGGATTCCCACGCTGCTTCCTCAACTGATGAGAGTAGTCCTTTGAATTGATTATTGTTGATCAACTTTCTTATTTGTGGTCCAACAAAAATACCTTCCTTTATCTTGGCTTGAGAAATATCTGGAAAAACTGTTTTCAAATAGTCGAATGCTTCGCCTTCTTTGTCCAAAGCCTTAACAAAGTTTTTAATGATACCGAGCTTGGTGTGTAAGGGTGGAAGTATGATTTTCTCTTTCTTGACAAGAGGGGTGTATTTGATGTTATCCACACCAACGGTAAACTCGACTCTTTCCGGCCAATCCTTTCTGACGTAGTGGTCCTTACTAGCTCGGCTATCCCACTTGCAGAGGAAGCAGCAGTGCTTGGTGTAGCCACTTTGTAGACCGCATAGCATTGCAACGACTTTGAGATCAGAACATATTTTCCAATCATGCTCTTCATATTTGATAAATTTGAGTATTTTTGCATTTCCTCGTAGGTTTCCTTTGTATTTACTGCATGTGCATTCGGGATAGAAGGCTTTTTGTTACCAATATGCAATAATACAGCCTTCAAACTCAGTTTATTGCCGTCTATGAACAATCGCCACTCTTTTGAATCATATGTTTGACCAAACTCTTTGAATAAACCAGGGATGTCGTTGCAGTAGCATATACTGTCTTTCTTGGTATAGTGTTTGGAAAATGGTTCGTGACGAGTTCTACTATATGTCACCTTAACATCGGATGACACAAATTTAAATTGTTGCATACGAGAAGTGTGGATCTCGGCCTTTTCCTTGGATAGTTCCAAATCTCTTATCCAATCATTAAGTTGTGCTTGTGACAGAACGTTTCTTTCGTTTTCCATGCGAAATTCAGTACAACTTGATCCCCCGCACTCAGATGTTACTGTTGACAATGGAACTGGATCCGCAACTGCCGTTGAATGTAGTACTGGTAATGTCACTGTAGGTACGCTAGCATAGGTTACTCCTCTTGATCTTCCAACGCCAAGTACTTTTGTTTGACAAATATAACACTCTATTGAATGGCAAGTAGGTTCTCTCCATATCATTGGTGTATCAAATTTTGTTTGTTGTCTTGATTCCCCCTGAATCAATTCTACTCGACACGATGTACACAAAGTTTTCGGTGTCCATGGTTTTTCAGCATTTTTAGGCTCAATTCCAAAATACTTGGAGTATAAAGTTTTGATATGATCTGAGAACACTCGTCGTCGCCTTATGATAGTATATTGGCCACACATGAAACAGAACATATCTGGATCTTATTACACTCAAATTCTCGCGTCCTTTTACTCATTTTATTTTTTTTAATAAATCACGGTTTTGAAATTAGACTTATGAACTGAACTATCTCCGGCGAGCCTTGAAGATGTTATGAAGTTTCAAAGCGCATTAACTCATATTTATACTCGGAACAAGAATAAAATTGAAAAAATCAAATCTTACCTAGACAGAAAGGTTCCTTTTTATAACAAGCCAGGAAAAGAAAATACTACCTGTTTTAGATGTAGGCTTTAGATATCTTCTGTGTCTTATAATTTTGAAAATCTACCTGCATACTTACCCATAACTGACGGAAATACATGTTTATAACTACATGCCTACAGCAGGTTTCGAACCCAACAACTCTTCCTTTCGATGCAACCACTCTACCTACTATAATACAATTCGAGTATTAAAAGTACTATTTGATTTATTTAAAGAAAAAGTGTTATCATTGTTATGGTGTTATTCGTTTATCCGGATAATATCTCACTTGCACTTTATACCTTTAATATATGTATGTATGTATAGGTACATACATTGAAGTTGCGCAACCTGGGTATTTTTGTTTGATCGCTTAAAACTTACGTAGTTTTGTATCGATTTTCTTCGATGATAGCTTATTTTTTTTTTAATACAACAGAGCTTAGGGAGAAAAAAAAATCTGCAAAAAAATAAAAGGTTTTCGAGATCCTTCCCCG